ACCTAAATTTCCATGCAAATGCATTGACAATTAAAGCTCCTGGACAAACCTATTCTTGGCCAATGGAAAGAATTTTGTAACAGCATCCTCAATTTTTCATCTTGTTTGTGCTCCTACAAACAATTTTTAGATGAACAGAACAAGGACCAACAGAATTTTACACATCCTGTCCGCATGGTAAGCTGTCTTTCTTATCACAGGTTACAGTACTATCTTTTTTACTTTACTTTAAAAATATGTCATTTTGTGGCCTTTTTAGTTGCTATAATTGTAATTTATTTAATATGAATTGTTTATGAAGAGTTTTGCCATATTCAATTTTCTTAGGATTCATAACAAAACGAAAATAACCGTCCCATATATTAATTGATAGTTTAATAATAATAGTATTAATTTTATTTGCTTTTAAGTAGCCTGTTGTTACTTATTAGAAATACAACAAAACACAAATAAAAAAGTATGATAAACCGATTGACGAACTTGCAATGATAATTAGGCCTAGTTATATTAAATTTAGCGTTTCGCAACTCCATTGGCGCTCCATATATTTGTTGAAAACAAACCGCGACCGAAATGAAGCGCGACCGAAACGAAGCGCGAAATGGGCTCAAATCATTTCGGCCGTCGCTCATTTCGGCCGCCAGATTTTTAGCAATAGAAAGTATGGCGCGCCAATAGAGTTCCGTTGGTAGTGTGGTTGTTGCAGGATGCGGAAGCGTAGGCAAATACTAATCTGGCCGTTTAAAAAAAATTAAACTTTCCATCTATGTAGGCATAGGCCTACATATTTGTATGTAATGCATGCTATAGAAATATGCCTACGTGTTTTTCATTAGGTATATATATTTATTTTTGTGGTTAATAAAATATAATAACGCCTAATGATACCGTAAATTATTCACGTTTTATACTAGGCCTACTGTATTTGTCTGTAGCAAAAAGGCCAAGTTGTAGTTGATTATCTATGTAATGAGTTGTGTGTCACTATACTTAATGTAATTTTGTACTTTTTTATCTTTGGAATGTTATACACGTATGCTCGTTGTTATGAATTATTGTAACAATTATATGAGTGCAGAAACTGATTTATCATGATAATGATTTTAATTTGTTCTTTACAGGTAGACGATGAGCGAAAATAAATTATGTCTAAAACTAGTTTGATTAATGGTTAATTATGTTTTGTATTGTTATAATTATATACTGTACGTTTTTCGTGATATTAATTATGGCGGTATGCCATATGTATTGTAAATTGAAACACCTCACTACAAGACTCGCAAAAAATACAAAAATTAAACTGGTATAGTCTTCTTTTATTGATACTAAAGTTGTAACAATCACTGTAAATATTTAACTATTTACTGAAACTTAATACAAAAATAAGCAAATTTACATAAATATCATATAGGAGTAAAATATCAAATATTATATAAGGAATTGTGTATGTATAATAATATTTCAATCATTTCATTTATATATTCAAAGTCCAATCTTATTAGAAAATAATTTATGGGCGTTGTCTTCAACTTAATGCACTAGGCACACTCATTTGAATGATAGTACTCTTAGAACAAAGGAAAAGAATACAACAATGATGGTGTATTTTCACCTGTTTAGTTCTTTTGTAAGGCTATCTTCATTCGTGTTTTCATATGTAAATAGGTTATGACGCATTTTGGTAGTTAGTTCCACAGTGTTAGCATAGTTAAAATTAACAGTTTTTATTTTAATATCTTACCTCGCGTCTTCCTCTGTGGTTTAGGCGGTAATGCCAACCTTCCAGGTCGTTGTTGGTCCTTATGCACTGATTGTAGTAAAATTTTTCACACATTGTACAATAAAAAATATAACACCATGTATCTTTTGTATCTTGTTTTATTGGTAAACAGTGTAGTAATGGAATGGTTAAATGCTTTGAATGTAGAACATATCGGAGATGGTTACATTCTTTAAATTCTTATAATATATAGGCCTAAGGAAGAAATATGCAAATAATTTTGGAGATTTCAAGGCAGCGGCGGGCGTAATAAAAAAATTTTAAAAACTTATTTTTTTTCGGAAATTCGAAATCATTATTGGCGGGCACTATATTTTGTATTCATGTCGACGTTGCCTATATAAAACACAAGGCGGCAAGGTGTAAAATATTTTCTCGTCTAACTGTATAATACTATGAATGACAAATCGTACATGTACAGTATAAGCTATAAATTTCATCATTCATTTATTTATTCGACTATAACTTCCCCGACCATATTAAGCTATAAATTTCATCTTTCATTTATTTATTCGACCAAACATTAAAAAGCACAAACAAACAAGAAACAAGACGATTTTTAACGTTACAATTTATGTTCATTTTCATCACGGAAGAAAAATAAATAAAAAATTCAAACATCAACAAGTGATGAAATATATATATATATATATATATATATATATATTTGCGTGAATTGCGTAATATTTTTGCGTGAATAACATGTCATCACGCAAAAGAAAAATAAATCTAAAATTCAAACATATCAACAAACGAAATGAAGTTGTATACTGTAAATATTTTCCCTTTTTATTCATGTCACCTTCTCAACCATCAAAAGAAATCAACAAATGTATTTAATTAGAAAATCACGTTGTACATAAAACATATCGGAGATGGTTAAACGCTTTAAATTTATATAATATATAGGCCTAGGCCTAAGGAAGAAATATACCGTTGGAGATTTCAAGGCAGCAGCGGGTGTAATAAAAATAATTAAAAAAAAAAAAAACTTTGATTTTATTATGAAATTCGAAATCATTATTGGCGGGGCACTATATTGTTCATGTCATCAAAGTTGTACAAACAACAAAAGGCGCATGTGTAAAATATTTTCTAATTTTATTCACAAATTCTCAACATTGAAAATAAATAAAAAAATTTAAACATATTTCAAGAAGTATACAGCCGCATATTTTTTTACATCACATTTTTATTCATTACCGTATCACGCAAGAAAAATATATCTAACGTATCAACATCAAACATCTTCACATTGTACATAAAACATATCGGAGGATGTACAATAAAACTAACAATACATATATTATATTAATAAGACACATTCTATAATAATAATAATAATATACTTTATGCAAAACACGGAGACACTTGAATCACCCATGAGTGTTTTTTTCATCCGTGAAGTCCGTCATAGACCATGCATAGTTAGAAAAGAAAAAATTATTGAAAACAAAATGAGTTAAAGAAAACAACAAAAACATAATATTTTAACTACCAATGAAACTATACCCCGCCGGACACCAACCCGGTATTCCTAAGTTTCAGGAATAAAAAAATGATTTACTGTATCTTTAAACAAATATAGATTTAATATTCTTGTTTTAATGGCGTATCCAGCTGTTGTATGACTACGTTCTCATTGGCGGCTGTTGTGTATTTGGTGGCCCCTTTGGCGTTTCATACATTTGGCGCGGCGGCCGAAATGAGTGGCGGCCGAAATGAGGTTGGCCCATAGAGCTATTAAACAACTAGAGTGCTGACAAGATGGCGGAGCAATGCAGAGTTGTGTATGTGTACCATCCAAGATGGCTGCCGTAGGAAGGCGCCACCTTCAGGCTTTTATATCTCTTTATTAATTGCTGATGATTAACCGACAAGTAGATAAGAAAACACTATAATCCTGATAAAAAAACGAGCTCTAATTAGGACAAACGAGCACGTTTTTTAACGAGCTCTATAGACCTCGATTTTGCACGTTTCGTTAACCAAAGGGTGGTCGCTCCAAATCAATCGCATTATTATTAATTAAAATTTGAATTAACTTTTATGAAAAGTAATGATTGCGTCTTGATTGAACACATATGAAGAATTCGTTGGTTTTTTATTCAAGAACTTCTAAATGCAATGGTGTGATCAACTGTGATTGGTGGATAGCCAACGAGGAAATGTCAATCTCGGTCACGCCAGGGTCAATCCAGGATCGAGATAGGTAGATTGAGATCGAGGTCACGCCAGGCGCATGTTGGTGCAGATGCGGTCAAATTATGAAAATCTCACCCACGGTGAGTCAAGCCAGGCTTGAAACTCCAGTGTGACCGTAGCCAGAGTGTAATTAGCTATGATAAGAGACCCTTGTTTTGATTTCCCGAGTTTTCGTGGATAAGTCGGGTTTTGTAATAAAGGAGGATGGAACAGCATGTAAAGTGTGCCACTGTTTCAAAAGTGTAATTTCCCAATAAATTATTATTATTATTATTATTATTATTATTATTATCATCAATCATTATTATATTATTCCTTCAGAAAAAATTATATTTAACCATATTTCTGACACTGAAAAAAAATTCAAAATCATTTTTAAAAAACTAAATACCTTAGGGGTGAATGGGTCGAAAATTCGCGACTTACCCTAGGCCTTGGCTAAGTAGGCCTAGCCTACGGCATAGCCTAGGCCTGGCTGAACTCTCTATCCACAAACTACCTAGGCCTAGGGCCAAGTCCTATTGCCACCCTGACACTTGCACGATTTTCATTCCCGCACTGGCGCGCACTTCGGCATGCCAATGATTAAAGTCTTCGGGAAAACGTGAGGAGTACGTGAAGGGTGCGGGGGTGCGCGCTATGTAGAGATAATTTTAAAATGTTCAAAAATTTGGCATGTATCAAGGTTCGTGCCATATGCGTGAACCATCCGTGAACATTGCGCAAACTCGACTCACAAAAGTATTCAGAGTTTTCTGGAAGAATGGCCAAGTACCACAAGACCTTAAAGATGCAAATATAATACACCTATATAAGCGCAAAGGAAACCGATTACAATGTGACAACCATCGTGGAATATCATTGTTGTCCATAGCAGGAAATATCTTAGCTAGAGTAATACTTCATCGCTTAACAAGTGCAATTACTGACAATGTGTATCCCGAATCACAGTGTGGCTTCCGTAGAGGTCGGGGTACTGCAGATATGATCTTTGCCTATAGACAACTTGCAGGCCTTGCCTTTTAAAAATGGCAGGCGAGCTACAATTAGCTCTCCTTAATATTTTTAGGAGAGCTGCTGGTGAGTTTCAAATCGCTCTTCTTGCGATTTTTAGGCGAGCTGTTAAAAAACATAAGATTTCATATTGCAAAGACCGAGATTAATAATAGTTCTAAGAGCAACTGTTAACGCTTTAAGATGTAGTAATGTTTTTGTATAGTGTACAATTGTACAAATTTGCTGATGTAAAGAAATTTTTTTTTGTACATTTTGTTGATGGAAAAATAAATTATACAAATTTCAAGCTGAGAATGACGTAGTTATTACTGTGTTAGTAATTTACAAAAAAATATACACAAACAAAACTAGGCAGTAACAGTAATTTTCAGAACAATATTTAATACAACATCACTTTATAACAGCTGCAAATACAGCAACTTTGTTTTTCATCATTTCCCAATACAGTAAATCGGAATCTATTATCTCTGTATCACTATCAGAAGCCTTTTCTGCCTCCACAATAGATGAAGGACCAGAAGACATACTAACATCATCATCATCATCAGAGTCTGAAGTTGTCAGTCTCATTGTTTGTGGGCACACTTTCAGACCCTGAGGATGATTCGGTTTGTGTGTCCGCTGTCCTTTTGCTTTTTTCTTACCCCAGCTGTGCTAAGTATGAGCTTTCTCTTTACAGACATGTGCTTTCGTAATGCACTAGATATGATTTCGTCCTTATCGCTTTCAGACCAAGCTAAGTGATTACTTTTTATGATAAGCAGATTTTCCATTGTCGAGTGATTTAAAGACATTCGCTTATCAGACAACATATTGGTCAGGCAACTAAAGGCCCTTTCAACAGATGAATTGCTTGGTCCTAAACACAAGATTATTTCAACCAGCTTAACTATGTTCGGGAACTCATTTTTCCTATATACAAGGACCCTCTGCCACATATCCAATGGTTTAAAGTGACTATAGTATTTTTTAATTACAATTTTCAAGTCCCTCCATTCCCCGCGAAGTGTTTTTCTACTGTTATCAAAACCTGCATAGGCCAATGTAGTTTCAAAATGCTGAGTGATATTATAGAATTAATTTCATCAGCACAATCATTAATAGCCTCCTCCCCTCAGTTTGCTGGATCTATACAGTACATCTTGCTGTAGAACTCATCATCAAAAGACTTCAATCTAGATTTTAAGCATTGACGTATGTCTGGAATTACTTTTTCTTTTAGTCTTTGTACTGCTGTATGCGTGTTATTACTCATGCGAATCATCTCTGTCAAATATAACTGGGTGTACTCCCTGTTTTCGGGTTTTCGTCTCATATGATTAGGTTTTGGCAATGTGCATTTCAAGACATTATCATCATTGTCTATTTCAAAACTGTACGTACTCCTTTCACTTACATTTAAATAGGGTTCAGACTCATCTGCTACCATATCATGCAGTTCATTAATCATTTTTTTGACATTATAGTCAACCTCAAAAGCCATAATATTTCCTCTTTCAAATGTAAGTGAAAGGGGTGTCACTAATTCTAGTAAGTCCCTGTAGAGGCAAACCGAAGAAAAAAATGAAAAATTCTTCAATTTTACCAGATACCCTTTTAGCTTTGGCTTTATTGCTCTATATCCCTTATCAGAGATTGCATGTTCTATGCATTGTGCAAAGGGAACCCAATTATTAAGTAATACATCTGCACCTTTCCTCTGATGGTTTAAAAACCTGGTGCCATGCACCTTGGGAAATGTATAAATATTAACATGAATGGTTTTGGCAATGCTTTTAAATTCTCTTGCAAGTTTGCCAGATCTCTTCATTGTGTTAAAAATGGACACCATAAAATCTTTCACATCACAAAATTCTTTGTATTTCAGGAGTGAATCTTTTAACGCCAATTCCATTCTGTGACTAACACAATGAACAGTGACAAGCCAGCTTCTTTCTCTTTTCATTTGAGTTAGTAAACCGCTGTATACACCCGTATTTACAGATGCGCCATCTGAAGTAGCTGATACCATGGTATTTATATATCTGTGAAATCAAAAGACATAAAACAATCAGATCCAGACAATAGAGTTCATGCCAAAAAACAAACTGAAATTGTATGACAGATCTTAATAAAAATGTGTTATAAACAAACAACATGTATTGTTATGTGTGTTTATCTTCATGTGTCAATGTGCCAAAAAAAGTTTGAAAATTAAATAATAAAAAATAAAATAGATTAAATATATTTCTAACCTTTCCTGTGGTAACTTCAGTTTTGAGTTCAATGCTAAATCAATCGACCTCTTTAGGTTATCAGCATTGGCATTTACAAAATCGTCAATGTCTTGGAGAGCTATAGTGTAATAGACAGCGATCCCTTTTCGTGTAGTTCTCACAAGAACTAACTCCTTCTCGGACCCCGTTTTTTTTGGCTGTGATCCATCGCTTAACAATGAGAACGCTGTAGCACTGCATAGAATGACAAATGACAAATTTGGTAGCCATTTTCCCACCATCACAGCCTTCTATCAGCTGAACACCGTTCTCCTTTTGGCATTTAACCAACATTTTGAATTTTGTGAGCGGCATGTTTCCAGATTCTGCCAACAAATATGCTGTCTTCAGTAATTTTCTATAAGCATCTTCTGCTTGTTTGTGTATGAAATGATTTATTTTGGGCTGGTTTCTAGCTGTTGCACTCTCCTCATTGTTAGTTAATGTACTACTGCTAGTACCCTCTGAGTCTTGTCGAGTATCAAAGAATACTCCCAATTTATGTGCCTAGGAAAATATAAAAACTTGGTGAATTTTTAGCTTTTATTTAAAAATATATATATATAAATTATTAATTTATCATTATCATTTCTTATTTTTAATATTATTATGGAGAGGGAAGGGTTTTTTCTACACTATAATAACAAGAAAAAAAGAACAAAAGAAAGAATGTTTAATTTAATGTATGAAAAAAAAAAATAAATAAAACCAGCCATTTTCCTTCCAAAAAAAGTTTATAAATTTTGTTAGATGAATGGTATGATAAGAATATTAAATAATATTTTATCTGTTCTATATATGCAGTGGAGTGTAATCTGTATCTATTGCAATATCAAACTAAATTTTTTAACATTTGCAAATAAAAAGAAAAAAAAAACTGGCCTAGGCCTATTCGTTAAATGAGTTTAAAATTCAAAACTGTTGCAGGCTCCTACACAGCCTGTGCATAGTCCCCAGAGTTTAGTATTAAACATAATGAACAGAATACAAATTTTCTAACATTGAATAAAAAAATCGCTGTGGCTGCTGTTACGCCGATTGAGAGGTAATTCAAGTATGCTGATTGGTCGAATTAACTTGACCCCAACCTTTAAAATAATTCATTCATCCTATACTTTAAGCGCAAGCTCTACGAGAGGGCAGTCATTGGCGTAACTGCAGCCACTCTGTAAAAAAATTGTTGACTTCAAAATTGAAAACAAACCCATGAATTTATTTCCTTAACTAGGCCTAGTCATAGGCCTAATCAAAATGTTGTTTATAATATTAAAATTATATTAAGATTGGTTGTTTGCACATAAAATGCTTATTTTGAGGTGTTTTCTCCGATCATAGGCTAGGCTAGGCCCCCTAGTTCCCGCACACCCTCACACACACACACACACTACACAAAGTGGCGGCCTATAGAATTTGATTATTCCCCGTAGGCCTACTGTAGGCCTAGCACGAAAATCGGCTTTTCGTTTCGATTTAATTAAGAGGCTGCAAAATTGCGTTTCCTAGCTAGGGCCTAGGCCTAGCCTAGGTAATTAGGCACCTTCTAATACCATTGATGAGTGATTACTTACAGTTGATTCCATGTGGCGTCTCGCTGTATGTTTAGTAACGAAAGTCGTACCATTAGCGTAGTTGTCAACTTCTTTAGCTGCTACCCCCTTTATTGAATTATCTTTTTTGATCAGTTCAAGGTGTCGCCTACATGACTTACAATAAATACTTCTTACGATTTCGACTCCATGATTCTTCGCAGCATCGTATCCATAAATATGGGTCAAATTCCACTTCAAAAATGTTTGTAATTGCACCGAATTTGGCATGTTGGTGATTTTTTAGTTATAAAAATATCAACATGTCCGGCCGAATGCATGACATTCAGAGCACCACATCATCATCATCGCTCACACGTGTGTGGACAGATGTACCGTCCCGTTTTTGCGCGTTACTGTAATTACTCTCGAGTTTAAGTCGAAAGTAAATACTGTAATGTCAATTACATATAACGCGTTGGATCTCAAAAGTACACTCCATGTTAACGCTCAAAAGTAAGAACAGGTTGTTGACAGATAATACAGTTTGACAGATGCAATCATGCAGAAAGGGCGCGAAAGGGGTCAGAATAACAGTGACGCAGGCGAAGAATTTAGGTGCGCGATTTTCCACGCCCCTCCAGGTGGTTTGAGAAGCGCATCAGCGCGCGATCGCGCTCACGCGCCTCAAATGGCAAGGCCTGGACAACTCCAGGAAAAATGTAAGGAACAAAACAAACCACTATACACTGTATTTGTAGACATCACAAAGGCGTTTGATACGGTTAGCAGGAAGGGGCTATGGAAGCTGCTCCTCAAGGTAGGATGCCCAGAAAAACTTATCACCATTATTCGGTCATTCCACGATGGCATTATGGGTCGTGTCTTAGACAATGGCAAGTATTCAGAACCATTCAACATAACAAATGGTGCCAAACAAGGGTGCGTTTTAGCTCCCACCCTGTTTGGCATCGTTTTTGCTCTCATGTTACAGTATGCCTTTCGAGACTTAGAACTCAGTGTGTATCTGCAAGTAAGAACTGATGAAGGTGTCTTTAACTTACGACGCTTTTCAGCTCGCAACAAGACAACATAAACACTAATCAGAGATCTTCTGTTTGCGGATGACTGTGCGCTCTCTGCTCACAGCCTAGATAACTTTAAATTGGAATACGCATATTGATCATATTAGATCTAAAGTTCTTCCAGGCTTATTTTTTCTTAAGAAATCCAGTGATTTAATTCCCACTCATCTACAATCCCTTCCATATAAAGCTATTGTTGCACCCCATTTTGACTATTGCAATATAGTTTGGGGGAGGTGCAACAAAATATTAAGAAATAAATTACAAATATTACAAAACAGGGCAGCTAAAATTATTACCAAAAAAACAAAAATATGACTCAAGTACTCAAGCACTTGTGGAACTTAAATGGCCTAATCTTGATCAAATGCTCAACATTAATGAAAATATCACAATGTACAAAATAATGAATGACTTAGCTCCTAATTATTTAAAAAATAGATTTATTCAAAGAGAAAGTAAATACAACACTAGGTCAAATGACAACCTTCAAGCACACTTGAACTTTTTAAAAGAAACATAGTAATGTAATAACCATTATTATATATTATATATATTTGTTTTTTCTTTGTACTAACACTTAATTATTTTAATCTAACACAATTATTTTGTTTAATGTCCATACGGCCTCGTGGAAGAACACCCACTTGGGTGAACGAGTTTCTTGACCGTTATAAAATAAAGTTGTTATTATTATTATTATTATAATATTCAAGAAATTGTTGACAGGTTTGCCGACACAGCCAAGAAATTTAGACTCACAATAAGTATAAAGAAAACTGAAGTGATGTTTCAGCCTTGCCCTTGCAACTCTCACTCTGACCCTGACGTCACGATAGGTGGTGCAAAATTAACCTCAGTAAAAAGCTTCAGCTATTTTGGAAGTATTATGTCTTGTGACGGCTCCCTAGACAATGAAATTTTACAGCGCATATCAAAAGCCAGTGTAGCATTCGGTCGTCTGACACATCATCTCTGGCAGAACCATGACATAAAACTGACAACAAAAATAAATGTATACAGAGCTGCCGTGCTGTCCTCTCTCATGTACGGCAGTGAAACCTGGACACCATACAGAAAGCATGTGCGGCAACTAGAACCGTTTCACATGCGTTGCCTTCGCAGAATTTGCAACATCCACTGGCAAGACCGCATACCCAACACTACAGTCCTTGAGAGGTGTGGCATCTCAAGCATTCAGTCACTTCTTGTGACAAAAAAGCTGCGCTGGGCTGGACACGTAGTGCGTATGAACGACACTCGCATACCAAAGATGCTCTTCTACGGTCAGCTAAAAGACGGCAGTCGTAGTGTAGGACGTCCACGTCTACAATACAAAGACACACTAAAAAGTAATATCAAAGAATGTGGTATGAGTTTGGTTACTTGGGAAGACGATGCAATCAATCGGCGTTTGTGGCGTAACCGATGTCTTGCAGCTACCAAACACCAGGAAGAGAAGCGCATCGCTGCCATAAAGCAGAAGCGAGCAGAGAGAAAATCACGAAACCCAGAGACCGGCAGTACAACTTACAGATGTGACGAATGCGGCAAAGAATGTCTATCACGCATTCGACTCCTTTCGCACCAGAGAGCACATCGTCGCCGAGATGCTCATTCATCGTAAACGACGAGAGACGCCATACAATTCAAGAAGTAATAGTCTGCAGTTGACAGATATACTGTAGACACCTTCTCTGTTCTGCAATAACACTGTTTCTGGGATTCAGCATGTTGAATCGTCCATAGCAAGTCAAAGAAAAACCTACGCTATGTAGAGCGTGCCGCCAAGCGGGACAAAGCCTGACCAAACATTTCCACGACTATACGCATGCGCGAAGGCGTCGGGGCAATGCTGAAAGGCAGCGGGATTATGCATGTTGCATGCATAGAGATATAATAAGAAAACTAGAGCGCTAACTGCAATGTATTCAATGTTCAAAATACGCAGAGCTGTGTATGTGTGTACCATCCAAGATGGCTGCCATAGTTTTAGCCAATCAAATTTTGCCTAAGCACCATCATTTTCAATTGCGCCCTCAATTTACACAGAAAGTTCAGTACACTAGTTACCCGTATGTTTGAAACTCGAGCGTTGCGGTGTATGGGCATAATGTACACGATTTTAATTTTCATTCCTTGTTATTTTTGAATACAATGTTTCTACTTGGCTTCGTTTTGGCTATGATAGTTTAATATTTTGTTATTACCATTTTTCATTATCATTAATGAAATAATAGTCAGTCAGAGGGCATATTTATGATGTATACTAAGCCTGAAGGTGGCGCTTTACTACGATGGCCATCTTGGATGGTACCATAGAGATATAATAAGAATACTAGAGCGCTAACCGCAATATACTTGATGTTCAAAATACGCAAAACTGTGTGTGTACCATCCAAGATGGCTGCCATAGATTTAGCCAATCAAATTTCGCTAAGCACCATTGTTTGCAATTGGTGCTTTCAGATTTTTTTACAGAGTCCGACAGATGGGGTAATTACCGACATGTACGAACATTTTGAACATTATATTTAGTCTGGACCGCAAGTATTTCAGTATTTAAAAATATCCAATCTGATAAAAAAAAAGGTAAAAGAGATTGAAATCGCGCCACACTCCGTACACAGCTGCATCAGTACGGTGTAATAGGGCAGCGTCGTATGAGTGTTGCGGAAGCTTTTGCAGAAATCTGTGCCGATTCTGATTCGAAGAATGACCTTCTAGGAAGCTCAAACACTTAACAAAAATATATTTAGTTGATTAGTGTCTGTTCACGTCAATATTTACTTTATTTTTTAGCTAACTAGACCCCTTTCTAGCTAGGCCTAGGCCAAGCCTACATATGGATAGGAAACCGGCTAGCTAGGGGCCTAGGGTAGGGTAGATTATTTATAGTAGCTTATCCCGCGGCCGAAACAATTGGTTTGGTATTCTTTACTTGGGCCATGAACCTAGGCCTAACTAAGATACAGTTTTCGGAGATTTACCTGAGAGTAGCCTAGGTATGACTAGCCCATATAGTAGACTGGTAGATAGTTAGCCTATCTGGGCCTTAGAAACATAAGCCCTGTAATTGATCATAAATCTTTGGCCTAAAATAAAAGTCATGCATAGGCCTGTTCCATACAATTCGAGCGGCGGCCGGAACAATTAGCGGCCCACGTGATCGAACACCCCTAAGACTAGGCTAGGTAGGTTATGTAGCCAAGGCCTACTAGGCCCTTACCCGGGCTACTACTAGATAGTTATGCTGTATACATTTATATATGGATGCTTATACAGTAGAACCTCGTTTTTACGTACCCCAGTTATACGAACCCTCTGTTTTACGTACGCCTCGTATGGACGATGACGTCATCAAAAACCCCGAAAATATTCAAAACAAACGGCCCTTTTGAGAGCAACCATAAGTAAAAAGAATATAACAATAAACTATAACAATAAACAAACTTTAATGCAATGTATTTTCATTAAACAGCAACGTTGATTGAGTCTAATACCGGGTTGTTATAATCTAAAACCACGTGAACTGAGTGAGATGAACAACTACCGATGGTGCTCAAAATTATTGCTTTCCTCCTTAGCTTCGTGTGGCAAACCATGGAAGAACTTGTCTGGTCGAATTTTCTACACGAAGCTGAGTAGACATAGTTTCGTACACGAACGCTAATTGGTTGGCTCGCCCAGTGCATAGCCCATGGTTGCTGTTTCACGTACACGAACGCTAATTGGTTGGCTCGCCCAGTGCAGCGCACATGGGTATA